TGGGGGGGGGGGGGGGGATGTATACCTGGTTTGAAATATATTAAATACTTGCCACATATGGAATTTATCACATTTAGAAAACCCACCCCTAGGGCCCAGAGCCCATCCTGATGAACTGAGGGCTGATAATGCTGTCCACAGCAGACAAATTTCTGGCAGGTGTTTTTCCAAAAACAGTTGTAGTGCCAGCACTCTCCCGCCATGACCTACAGCACTGCCGAACCAGCTGCCAAACGTGCTGCGATTCATTTCAACACGAAGGAAAGCCATGAACCTGCCAAATATTTCCACATGTTTATCAAATACTTTATAATCCATTACTAAGAATAAGCTCTCCACCAATTCTGTGCCGAGAATAAACGGTAAGAGAGTTCATTGACAGTGTGCCAATTCCTATTCAAAATACCACATACCACAGCACGATTTCAAGTTCAGCTTCAGGAATAGAGACAGAGTAATGTCTGCTTTGAAAGTTTGGCAGTCCTTGAGGGAAAGGAAGATGGTAAAGTTACACAGTTGATTATTTTACAGTAACCCACGACTTCTGTTTCTCATCACAATAAAAACGAAAACCTCCCTTGTTTTTCAGCTGTTTTCCAGGACATGTACATCTCAATTTATTCAATGGATTGTTGTGTGTAAATCACATTTGGGGTGAATGGCATTGAGGGAGTCCCAAGAGAGCTCTCTCAGTTGGTTTATGAAGTGCCCAGTGTATGGCCCCCTGACTTACCTATCTATTTTAAAAGTTGGATTTTCAGCAAGGACTATCTATATATGCATACTTTTTCTAATTTTCAGGCTTTAAAGCACTTTATGGTCACAGTTTGTTTACCTAATCTGTTTTACCTTTAGGATGCTTTAAAGCATTTTTCCTACCTTAAAAGTATAAAATAATGATTTGTGAGCTACTAACTTGATGTTGCTCTTTCTTAACCTCCCACCTCAGATTTCCCGTCTGCAGCTTGAATTTAGTACTAAGGTGAAGGGACTTCAGACTCTAAAACTCTGAGTCTGGCCCTATTAGTAAAATGCAGTACATTTGTTGAGTATTTGAGCCCTGGGCACAGAAAGAAAAATAATTTACTCAATAGAGAAAATCAACTCACATCAATAACAGGTTACTGTACAAACAGCGAGCATACATGCTGTGCCAAGCATTTACTGAACAACAATGTCACATTTTAAAATACCTGTGAGAGAAGTGGGGAGGATCTGCATCCACCCCTTCTCACACTAAAGATCTTCTTAAATGGAATTCCATAGGACTTTTGATCAGCACTTTTGAGCCTAGCTGTCTTACTTGGCTGGGATTTTAACATTCCCTCTTTTAAATTATAAACCAGATCCTAAGCACAATTCTCCAGGCAGCAACCTATGACTTTTATAAATCAAAAATGTACTTGGGGATAAAATGAGAGTTGATTTCTGAAGCCAGAAAGGTTAATAAAGGCTGGGGACAGGGGGATCAGGAGCTTTGTATATTAGGCAACTTCTCTTTTTCTAAAGAAAAAAAAAATCTTTGTGTGTATGCTCAGGTTTGTGAGTGTATGCCCTGTGGAGGTCAGAGGACAACTTTGGGTATGGTCATATGCTAGGGTAGCCCACTGCTCCCTGTAGGAGCACTGGGTTTGCAGACCTGTGTTACCTGGTCTGGCTTTTCAGGGGATCAAATCTCAGTTCCTCACACTTGGGAGGCAAGCCCTTTTGTGTTGAGCCATATCCCCTGCCCCAAGCAACTTCTTTTCAAATCTAAGACAGTATGAAAAGGTCAGAGCGATCAAGCAGGGTGTTGCCACAGCTTTCCAAACTAGTAGAGAAAAATCTCAAGTCTACAAAAGCAAATAGAAAAGTCAAGAGAAAAGTTTCCCTTCCATGTGCCCATCACTCAGCTTCAATAATTTTCAATACCTTGCCTTTTTTTTTTTTTTTATCCGACCACTCGGCGGGGAGGGGATGGTACTTTAAAGCAAGTCCAAGACTTGCATTTCATTTCACCTTATTTTCTATATGTCTGACACCGCTCCTTTTGCTGATCCAGGCAGTCAAGTTGTTCTTGAAGAGGGGAAAGGGAAATGGAGAGATGGAGAGGGAGGCAGGCAGCGACAGAAAGGCAGGAGAGAGACTAGCTTTGATAGTAACACTGCAAAAAGGCTTTCAAGGAGAGCAGACTTCTTTCCAGGAATGGTGTTTTACAACTTTTTCAATGGCATCTGTTAATAATCACAAAAATAGTAGTGCCTAAGTCGAAAGCATTCCTTTTGTATTTCAGTGCAAACATCGCTCCTGCTGATAGCCTGCGGTAGTCTGCACTCAGAAAAGCCTAGCGAAGGGAGGACGGAAAGCCTGAGCATGATCCTTTCTTTAGCACAGTTCGAAGTTCCTCTCGTGGGTTCAGCTTTCCCAGAAGGTGTCCGGTCTCTGAGGTCTCGTCCTGCCAGGGGTTCATCCTTACCTGTGCAGCCGCTGGTGTCCTCGGGTCCCTGGGGCGCTGCCCAGCTAGGAGCCAAGTCCGGTGCGTGCTTGGGCTAAGGACGGCGCCCGGAGCCACGCGGGCAGAGAAGCGCGGGGTCACCGGCAGGAGCTTGCCAGACTAGAAGACCCAAATCAGGCTGGAGCCGGGCTGCCCGGCTCCGGAGTGATTGGAGCCGGGAGGGGAAGGGAGCGATGACGCCAGCTCCGAGGGGCGGGGTGGGTGTGTCCCTTAGACTTACCCCTGCATCCCTGCCCACAATGATGGTTAAGCACTAGAAACAGCCTCTTAGTGGGTTCACAAGAGATGTCGGCGCCCAGGGCACATTTTAAATGATCTCAAACAGAACACCCGGCATGGTGGCGCACGCCTTTAATCCCAGCACTCGGGAGGCAGAGGCAGATGGGATCTCTGTGAGATCGAGACCAGCCTGGTCTACGCAGCGATTTTCAGGGCAGCTGGGGCTACAGAGAGAGAGAACCGAAGCCGCTGGGCATGCCCATAGCCTGCAATCCCAAGTGGGTGGAGGCAGGAGGATCATGAGTTCAAGATCAGCCTTGGCTACATAGCAAGTTCCAGACCAGCTGAGGCTACATGAGACCTTGTCTAAAAAAAAACATCATCATCATCATCATCATCATCATCATCATCATCATCATTTGAAGAAAAATCACTGTAATGTGAGGGAGGGGTGCATGCAGACATGCTCCCTTGAGCTTCTAATTGGCACCCAGCCATCAACAAAAACAAACTCCATCCGTCTCCAGCCAGTCCCCACCCTGACTTCCCTGGATGCACACTCCACCGAGCCACCTCAGTGAGAGGAAGCACCTCAAACCGAAGAGTCTCTATGAGCCCGGGACCAAAAAGAGAGCTGGGATGCTGGGACGCCCGGTGCGGCCTCCAGGGGGAGCGTCAGCGTTTCCTTCTGTTCAAAGAAAGTTGGTCTGACTGCCACCAAGGGCAGGAAACATTCCCTCAGTCTCCACAGAACACTTGGAGCATTCTTTCTCTTTGGTCTTCTGATTCCTGCTTCCGACAGGCACTCCTTTGAGTGGAAGTTGTATGTGGAAAGGAGCGTCGTTTTCAGCTTTTCCTAGGAAACAGGTCTGAGACAAGAGTGCAGAATCTCGGACCATGTGTTGGGGATTTAATTCAGGGCATAGAGCGTTTACCTAAGCATGCCCAAGACTTAGGACCCATCCTCATCACTAAACAAACAAAAGCCAAAAAACAAAAACAAAAAACTACCTCTGTTCTGACTTTCACAGCAGGAAGATCAAACAAGTGAAAGAGGGCACAATTACTTAAAGCAGAAGGCATTCATGTAACACTGGGGCGGCTTATTGTATTTCTTAATTTATTGTGCGAGTGGGTGGAGTGCACTCTTGTCACACTGTGTGTGTGTGTGTGTGTGTGTGTGTGTGTGTGTGTGTGTGAAGGTCAGATGGCAACTTGTGGGAGTCAGTTCTCTCTTTCCACCCTGTGTGGTGGGAGATGGAACTCAGGTCACTAGGCTTGGCAGTAAATGCATGACACATGGTTCTTCAGTGGGTTGTAGGTAATTGCATTGCTTAGATTTCTATGCTTTATTTATTTATTTTTATTTATGTGTATGGGTGTTTTGCCTTCATGTATGTAGGTGCACCACTGTGTACAATGCCTGCCCATGGAGGCTAGGAGAGGGTGTGTTTTGTCTAACTGTATGTAAAAATAACAAGTGCATACAATGCTCATGGAGGCAAGAAGGGGGTGTCAGATCCCCCTGAAACCCAGATCTTCTGCAAGAGCAACTAATGCTCTTAACTGCTGAGCCATCCCTTCAGCCCCTCTATGTACTTTTCAAAGAGGATAGGATCATAACGTAGACAGTTGTTTCCTGTTTTCACTGTTTTCTCACTTCGTTTTTTAAACATACGTTTACCTACATGATTAAGATCTTTGGGAATGTTTTTCTGGAATAATAGAATTATCTCCAAAGCTCTCACCAATCAGATCATAACACATATGCATCTTATCACTATGTTTTATGGAAGTGGGGATGTAGTGGATGCTGATTGTGTGTTGATATAAAAATGTTTCCTAGTCAAATGGAGAGTGGGAAGTCATAGAAAAAGCCTGGCACTCAAAACAGAAATCCTATCTGATGCTAAATCTGATGCTAAACAGCTGTGAGCCCTGGGCCTGAGCCTCTTCACCTGCAAGCTGAGAAGGCTGAGCTGGAGGAATTCAACCATCAGCAGCTCTCAAACATATGAGGTGCTCTTTGGTATCAATCCACAAGACTTAGGATGGACACAGGTCTGGCTCTTATACTTTGCCGAGTACCCCCACCACCATCACATAAAACAGACTTCAAATGCTCTTACATTTTTAAGAACGTTTATGAATATGAGTGTTTTGCCTGCATCTACATCTTGGCACCATGTATGTATAGTATCAGTGGAGGTCAGAAGAGGGCATTAGATCCCCTGGAACTGGAGTTATGGACAGTTGTTAGCTGTCATATAGGTGCTGGGAACTGAACCCTGGTCCTCTGCAAAAGCAGTCAGTGCTCTTAACTCCTGAGCCATTTCTCCAGCCCCTTGCCCTCACGTTTTTGTGGCCCCCTTCTCAAGCTTTTACCTTAGGCTGTGTGTGTGTGTGTGTGTGTGTGTGTGTGTGTGTGTGTGTGTGTTATCTCATCAGGTCCAGTCCTGATGCTTGATATTTATTGCTTCTGTGGTTCCAGGATTCTAGCTGCTCACCAGGACTCCTTCTCCTCACCTCCTCTAGCTCATCAGGTTTTTCTGTAACCCAGAATGAGTAATTCATAGACCTATATCCAACTATATCCCAAAGGCCTCTTCCCAGCCCATCACATTCCCTGCTCTGGTTATTTGGTGATCCTGTAATTTCTCCATGTTCCCCAACTAGATGTCCATGTTCACATGTGTAGAGAATTGAGGCTTTTAGGGTCTGCCTATGTTTAGACAACATGGTGCTGACTCGGATTTCTGGCCTTGGTCAAGATGACTAAAGCTAGACATCTGGGGGCTATGAGTCAGCACAAAATGGCTGACACTGGATGTCTGCAGACCCCAAAAGTAAACAATAATGCAATCTTTTATATAACCAGTTTGGGCAAGAAGCCACCTTTGTGTGATTTCCTATAAAAAGTCCTTGGACCAAGAGCACATGAACTCTTGCCTGGTAGTTGCCTGCTCAGCAGCCCATGTGTCCTTGCCTAGAGAAAAACAAAGCATGTCTCATTTGCCAGCAGCTCTGTGAATCTTCTTTAATCTCCTGGCTCCTGTCAAGCTTCCATTTCTGGCCTCCAAACCTGGCCTCCACAACTTGTGAATGAATATTTTATATATAGCATTCCTACAGTTTTAGGAAATAATTGATTATAAGGAATGTTGATATCATTTCTGAAGAAGATAAAAATCTCATAAAAATTTCTAGCCTTCTTTCTCCAGTTTTCCCAGTTTTTAGTATTGTGATTATCTTTACATATTATGACTATCAAGGTCTTTATCAAATTACTCTACCAAAGTACTGATGCTAATGTCAGGGCACACAGCTTTATCAAAGTAAGTACAACCATGTAAGTATTTTTGTAAGCACAACCATGCCCTCTGTTAATGCACCAGCAGAACATATAACCACAAACTCTTTGAAAGGCCCAGCTTAATGGAGGTGTGTGTATACTCCTCCAGATACACTACTAAGAATCCCTGAACACATCCCTTGTCACATCTTTGTTACTTGGGGACATCATGGCCTCGCCAGAAGGGGTGACCACTGTCAGGCCTGGCTATGATTAAGAGTATACCACTGAGCTTGCTTTATTTTTTCACCCTAGACTTGATTTCCCAAGAGACTCAGACCTAACTAGAATACTTCCCTTTTAAAGGCCCAGCCTTCATTATAATGGAAATGTACTTGGAAAATTTAGAAAGTTTTAGCTCTGGAAAGACAGGAAGAGGAGATAGTTCACAGTTCATGGTCAAGGTCTAAGTGATGACTCAGCCTTGTAGAAGTCACATAACTTACTGTGGAATCTTCCCTGTGAAATTTAATTCCAAGGTTTTATCTGAAACTTTTGTTTATTAGGTAGTGTGTCCTGCATGTGTAAGATTTCAGGGCCCCTTGATTAAGGTAAACTGAGAAAATTAAGGAGATGCATAAGGAAAAAAGATAAGGTGACTTTTGTCCTCAGATGAGACTTACTTTGATAGTCCTTGGGAGGCAGGATTTCACAGGGCATTGCTAGAGGACAGAGCCTCTTGTAAAGCTCAATTCATAGAAATGTAAATTGGGGTTAATGAAGCTAAATCATTTGTACTTCAATTAGGAGGTTCATAATGGCTTTTGGTTTTATTTTGTTATTACTATGAATTTGGGGGCTCTGGAAATGGTATGGTGCTAAACAGCTAGAACGCATGAGTGACCTTCAGCACAGATCTTTATCAGGGCCAAAATGATCCTGAGCAAGCTGAGGCACTTTGCCAGACTCTAATCTCCTCTTCCTCCTTCACGGCCCCTGGAGACAGGACTGAACCTATCTTGGGTAACAACAATGCACTATTTCAGTGGAGTACATTGGTGGTTAGGAAACTAAGGTTTAGAGCTGAATGCTACCCCTCATCAACCATGCAATTTGGAGCAAGTTCCTTAACCTCTCCAAGCCCCATTCCCTCATTTGGAAAGTAGCATGGTAAAACTGGCCTGGAAAAGGGCTGTGAAGATGAATGTGAACATGAATGGGAAGGTCTGGGACTGTAGTCTAGCATACGGTGGGCAACCAACCAGTGGAGTCACATCAATTCCATGGACGCAGAGAAGCAACCTCAAGGACAGAGGACAGTGAATGACGTATATAACAGGTCACGGCCTTACTCCTCAGCCAGTGACAGGACAGGCGATACATCTGAGTGCCAACAACATTCTGTGCTTTTCTCCGCTGTGATCTTTCCCTTTGTCATTATACTCCAAGACTCTAAGTAGATGGACAAAAATGTCAGATAGTCTTGCAAATGATAGACACCAGTAATCTCGGCTACTCAGAAGGCTGGAGCAGGAGGATTCCAAGTTTGAGGTCAGCCTAGGCAACAGAGTGTGATCCTATCTCAAAAACAGAAGCAACAAAAACCAATAATCTCTTATA